GTGTGTGTGTGTGTGTGTGTGCGTCTGTGTGTCTGTGTGTGTGCGTTTGTGTGTGTGTCTCTATGTGTGTGTGTGTGTGCGTCTGTGTGTGTCTGTGTGCGTTTGTGTGTGCGTGCGTGCGTGCATGTGTGTGTGAGAGACTGGAGCAGACTGTCCTAATGGCTGTGATGTGTATTTTTTACCACGGTTAAGTGCTGTTCTTAGATGTAGTGCAATGTGGGAATTTGACCATAATGCACAACCTCACATGGCTTATAACTCTTTAAAATAGCCACAGCGTTGATTAAAAAGACACCAATAAAATTACAATTATTTGTAATAACCAATGCAATAACCAATTCTTATGCTAAGTAAATAGTTTATTTGTGGAAATGTGGACCATTTGCGGTTGCAAAGTATTAATAGTGAATTCATTTTATCAGCTATTTTGCAACCTCCACAACTCAGTCCAAAATAATAATTAGAGTATAAAAGGCTTATTTATTTGATCAAAAATACAATAAAAACAGTAATATAGTGAAATATTTTTACAATTTAAAATAAGAGTTTTCTATGTGAATATATGTTAAAATGTAATTTATTCCTGTAATGCAAAGCTGAATTTTCAGCATCATTCCTCCAGTCTTCAGTGTCACATGATCTTCAGAAATCATAATAATATACTGATTTGCTGCTTAAGAAACATTTCTGATTATTATCAATGTTCAAAACAGTTGTGCTGCTTCATATATATCGTGGAAACTGTGATACATTTGATTTTTCAGGATGTTTTGATGAATGTGAAGTTTAAAAGAAAGAAGAACAGCATTTATTTGAGAGAGAAGTCATTACACATGTCTTTACTGTGTCTTTACTGCAGTGTGTGTGTGTGTGTGTGTGTGTTTGCAGTATGTTGCGGAGCAGCTTCAGCTTCAGAAGCATCCTGTGGTTTGCACGTGTTCTGGCGCAGAGATTCAGGCCGTTCTCTCGGCTCTGCTCACTCGGATACAGAAATTGTAAGTCACGTAAACGCAGAGACCATTAAAGCCTGTTCACCAAGAGTGGAATGACTGAGTTAAACAGGTGTTTTGTAAAGAAAGCACTGACCTCTGAAGCGTAAAGTCCAGTGAAATCTGATCACATCTCTGTGTGTGTGCAGCTGTAACTGTAACTCGTCGATGCCGCGGCCGGTGAAGGTGGCGGTGGTCGGTGGTCAGAGTTATCTGGGATCAGTGCTGCAGTTCTTCGTCACTCAGCTGGCCAACAAGACGTCTGATTGGCTCAATCACCTCCGCTTCCTGGTCGTGCCTCTGGGTAAAAAAACACAACTCATGACAGCATCGCTGAGAGGAATGACGGCTATGTGACATACCGATGGATATGATTTCTTTCTGTTTTTTGATGCAAATATTTTTGGATGTTAATTTCAGTGTTTCTGTTTTTATTTTATTTTTATTTTATTTTTATGTTTTTTTCCATTCTTTAAACTGGTTCAGGTTCTCATCCTGTTGCTAAGCACCTGGGTGCCCTTGACAACCGTTACAGCGCAGCCTTCCTGGACGGAGCCTGGAGAGACACATTCAACCGATCTGAACCGCCGCAGACAGGTACACACACACACACAGACACAGACACACACACTCACAACACAACTCACACACAAAACACACACACAGGTACACACACACAACTCACAACACAACACAGACACACACACACACACACTCACAACACACTCACAACACAACTCACACACAAAACACACACACACACACACACACATGTACACACACAGGTACACACTCACAACACAACTCACACACAGGTACACACAACTCACACACACACACACACACACACACTCAACACAACTCTCTCTCTCACACACACTCTCAACACAACTCACACACAGACAGACACACAGATAGACAGACACACCCGCGCGCGCACACACACACACACACACTCACACCACACACACACACACACACACACACACACACACACACACACACACACACACACACACCCCACACACACACACACACCCTCACACACACACACACACACACACACACGCACACAGCACAGCATCACTGCAGCCACACACAGACACACACAGACAGACAGACGCACACCCGCGCACACACACACACACTCACATGCACACAGACGCACACACACACACACACTCACATGCACACAGACGCACACACAGACACACACATAGACAGACACACACACACATATATACACACACACACATATATACACACACACACATATATACACACACACACATATATACACACACACACATACCCTCACACAACACACACACACACTCACATGCACACAGACGCACACACAGACACACACATAGACAGACACACACACACATATATACACACACACACATACCCTCACACAACACACACACACACACTCATACACAAAGCATATTTTATTGGAATTTCCTGCTTTAAATTATATTATGCAATGGTTTTCTTCAGAAATTTAATGAATGTACTTTAAAAAAAAAAAAAAAAACACTTCTCTGAACATGTTAGATTTTCTTTCAGTCAAATATCAAACTAAAATAGCTTTTATATTTGCTATATCTTTTATTGGTTAGAAAAATAGTTATATTGTTAAATATAATTTTGAATGTTCAGATGTCTGGCCCGTTACAAACCCGTTTAACACAGCAGCACACGTACTGCATGTTGGTGTATTGTTGTAGATGCGGTGGACGTGGCGGCGCGCGTGGCTCAGTACATCAGCGGAGCGGCTCTCACACACCAGCTGCCCATCGCTGAGGCCATGCTGACCTGCAAACACAGAACGTACGGCTCCGTCTCACTCATTACAGCTGCACATGATTCAGTACTGTAGACATGACAGCCTCAGCCGTGTGCTTCAACTCACTTATCACTTCCTCTTACAGGAGAGATGAAGATTCCTATCAGAAATTCATTCCCTTCATTGGGGTGAGTAGAAATCGCACCATTAGGTATTTCTTACAAGCCATAATATTGCATTTAGTATTAATTAAAATGTATTTGTATAATTAAAGTAGTCTTATGACGGTGAAATCATTCAGAGTTTTTGCCTTTTATATGTGTTAATAAATTAATAAATAAATGAACTATCAAAAAATTTACCTTTTTTTAGAGATTGTATTTGCCCCTGGAATTTATTTTCTTTTTTTTTTTTTTTTTTTTTTTTGACAGTTTTCCTCTGTAATGTGAGAAGATCTGCAAAGTATTGTGCATCCATAGTTTTTAAATCCTTTTTTGATTATGTATTAAAATGAAATAATACAATGTAGTGCATAATGATATTAATAAAAACAGTATTCTTCCACCAAACAATGCAGCTCCTCAGAAACTGTTGTGATTCCAACAAAGCAGTTGCCGAGCAATACACAGAAGTAAACAAAGGTGTGTGTTTATAGAGTAATTTACAACAGCGTTGAACGTGGCTCAGCCAATCAGAATCAAGGACCGGAACGCAGAGTTTTTGCCTTATATATTTATTGCAAACAGCATAAGTGTCACTCAAAGCATTATATAATATATCACGTATTGTAATCGATCAAGTGAAATAAATTAATATTTGATTAAATTAAATTATTTATTTTTATATTAATTTTAGTTTATAGTTTTAATAATTTCGTTTTTTTTATTATTCATTATTTTTAATATTTCAATTTAGCAGTAGTTTATTTCAGTCTTAGTAATATTAGTACTTAAACTGATGTTCAACATTTTTAAAAGAACAAAATTATATATATATATATATACAGTGTGTATGTTATAACTATATCATTACTATAATTATATTCCAGCTTCTAATGTGATTTCGATTTATTGAATTTTTATTGATTATTAATAATATACAACATTATCTTCATTATTTAATTCAGTGAGTGACATCCTTGGAAAAAACAGTTTTATTTGTAATTTTTAATTTGACATTCTGTGTTAAATGTCAGAACAAATTGTCATCAAGTTAATTTATCAGAGTGAAAATAGAAGTTGAGCATGTTGCGATATTATAGAATTATTTCGAATAGGCTTTTATTTGTATTATTTCATTTTCAGTTTATAGTTTTTGTCATTTTATGTGATTTTTGTCTTTTTAAATATTTCTATTTATAGAAATATTAGTTCTATAAATAGAATTTCTACAAATAGCTTCATATTTATTTCAGTTTTAGGTTTAGTAATATATATGTTCAACCTTTTAGGAAGAATAAAATGGCTCGAAACTGCATATTCCTACATTTTTATATACAAATTCTATAGGCAATTGAGCAATCCGAGCGGTAGCAATGCAGAAGAAAACTGCATAAGTGTCTGGCTGCTGTGGTGTGATGTGTGTGTGATGTGTCTGTCTCAGGAGTCCCAGCATGTCTCACGGCGGGGACGCCATCGGTCTGCAGGTGGATTACTGGCTGGCGTCTCTGGCGGAGAAGCGTCGCGAGGGCGCAGTACTGAACATAATATAAATATATAGAATGTATCAAGCATACTTGAGCCAAGAGTAGAATAGAAAATATTTAAAAATAAACTAAATTACAAGAGGAAAAAAGTAAATAAAACAACGAATATACAAATTAATTAGTACACATACAATATATATATATATATATATATAATGCACATGTGTATAAATTATGTATCTTTTTTTTATAAAAAAAATGATAAAAAGTGGCTTAAATTTCAAATATAAAAGTAAAAATAAAATGTTTATATGAACAAAAAGTTCAATATTTTTGAGATAGTGCTCACCATTTATTTGATCAAAAACAAAAAAATTGTTAAATATAATTACAATTTAATATAACTGTTTTCTATTGTAATATTTTGTAAAATGTAATTTATTCCTGTGATCAAAGCTGAATTTTCAGCATCATTTGTCACTAAAATGTGGTTTTCAAATAGTAACAAAATAAGCAACAAAAAAAACTATCTATAAGATGTTGTTGTGCCACAGTAAGAGTGAAGCCAGTGTGTAGTGTGTGTGTTGGTTTGTGCGAGTGTGTGTTTGTGGACAGTAATGCTCGCTGGTTTAATTAGTCCGTGGTGTTAACTATACATTATTCACGGCACAAGATTCAGCGTTTTTCCACCCATTGCAGCTTGAAATGCTTGAAATGCTGATGAATTATTAATATACAGTGATTGTTACATAATTAATCTGTTGAACTCCTAATATTATTATTAATTCACTTTCAGACTGAAAGAGTGAATCTCACAAAACCCGTCACAAACATGTCATATTTCACCACAAAATCAGAAGAAAGAAATATGGAAAAATATTTAGTTTCAAGAAAATCCACCCAAATTTAGGAACATTTTGGAATTTACTTTGTGACATGATTGGCCTGTTGAAATATTTGTTGCAATTTAGTAAATTTTTGTTGATTTCTAATACAAATATTTGCATTACAGTAATTTTTACTAAAATAATTTAAATATAATTATTGTTTCTCGTCACTAAAATGTGGTTTTCAAATAGTAACAAAATAAGCAACAAAAAAAAAAACTATCTATAAGATGTTGTTGTGCCACAGTAAGAGTGAAGCCAATGTGTAGTGTGTGTTGGTTTGTGCGAGTGTGTGTTTGTGGACAGTAATGCTCGCTGGTTTAATTAGTCCGTGGTGTTAACTATACATTATTCACGGCACAAGATTCTGCGTTTTTCCACCCATTGCAGCTTGAAATGCTTGAAATGCTGATGAATTATTAATATACAGTGATTGTTACATAATTAATCTGTTGAACTCTTAATATTATTATTAATTCACTTTCAGACTGAAAGAGTGAATCTCACAAAACCCGTCACAAACATGTCATATTTCACCACAAATTCAGAAGAAAGAAATATGGAAAAATATTTAGTTTCAAGAAAATCCACCCAAATTTAGGAACATTTTGGAATTTACTTTGTGACATGATTGGCCTGTTGAAATATTTGTTGCAATTTAGTAAATTTTTGTTGATTTCTAATACTAATATTTGCATTACAGTAATTTTTACTAAAATAATTTAAATATAATTATTGTTTCTTTTAGGGATGCACGATATTATCGGACTGATATCGGAATCGGCCGATAATGGCTTTAAATGTAAATATCGGAATCAGCCGATATGAAAAATTATGCCGATATGTCTTGCCGATAAGAGGAATGCGTTAACGTCAGCAGTGTGGCTCATTCTTGAAGCAAAGTTTTGGCTAAATGATGATTAGATTGACTGTTTGGATCGCTGCATTTAATCTGTGAAAGCACGAACAGAATGATGCGTTCAGTGTGTGATAGAGTAAACAGTAATAGCAGGTGCAGCAGCGGCAGCCTCCCTCAGGTCCTAAAGCCCGCTCAGTAAGGAGTTTTAATCTGTAGGGGGCGCTGTTGGCCTACTTCTAGTTAAATTAAAAGTAAAATAGCCTACACAAATAAAATTTAGACTGTGTTTCTGATTTAATAAAGCAGTAATTGATGTCATAAAATATCGAGTATGTTTTGATTTAAAGGTCAGAAGCTATAGCTTACATGAAAAACATCACAAACATGACACTTGTAAATTAAATAATTTTATATATACTGATTTATTCATTAATGTGTAATATGTTTTATTTTTTAAACAAATCATAAGCTCTAAAAGATTTTCAGAATTTTTTACAACTCTTTTGCTTTAGACCATCTACAAATGTTAAATCTTAAAATAAAATGTTAGGGTTAACAAGAACTTATTTGTTAGAATTAAATAAACAATTATGAAGGTTTTTTGACAGTACATTGAAGCTTTGAAAATAACTATAAATAAACCATATATCAATCGCTGCCCCCCCCCCCCAGGTTAAAAAGTAGCCTAAATTAAAAATATTTTCCTTATAATTTCTTCACAGGAGAGACTTGGTCTTGTTTCCAAACAAAAGGAAATATATCGGTATCGGCCAAAATGAGTTGAAAAATATCGGTGCATCCCTAGTTTCTTTTGATTTCTGAGGTAATAAATAACCTCGATGTGAGACTCACCCAAAATCTTTCTAATTTAAGTCACGTTTTCTGGAATGACTGCATCATTTTTTCTGTGGTTAAAAGTATTAAGAACAACAAAGTATTAAAGTCACGATGGGTCAGTTAGATTTTTATTTGTTCCTGCTTCTTACAGAGATGTTTAGCAATAGTTTTGAAGTGTGAGTGTCTTTTTTTGTGTGTACATTAAATGCATCTCTCCTTTTTATACCCATATTCTTGAGTTAATTAGTTAATGTTGGTTATCAGTACCGCACTATTGAATAAATATCCACACATGAATAATTTATCTATAGCAGATAAGTTCTTACTATGTTTTATTTAGTTGTTTAAATTGCATTTTATTAATATCTTTGGGATCGAAATTCTAAGGCTCATAGGAAGACGCATACTGTGGCTGTCATAACGTCTGAAATACTTTTAATATTTCAGTTAGTGACTGTGTTTAGAGGGTTTTGCAGTCTTGTTGAGGCTTTGATCATTCCTCATTGGATCTGAAAATCATAAATGATTTCGAGGGTCAGCATGTCCATCAAAGCTTAGAGACCTTCTAGAAAAGCCCCCCTATAGATGTTGAGCTGAATTTTTGAATTGTATTTCAAACTAATCAAAATATCTGTACTGTTGTTACACTTACTGTCCGTGTTTTAAGCTTGCATTATGGCAAATGCACAAAAACTTGCAGAAACCTTCAAACAAGCGTTTTGAGTTAAAAGAACAAAATAAATGGAAACTATTTCGGAGTCCAGGTTAAAATTGTATATGGATATGTATTGAATGGAAAAAAGGAGTGGCAAAAAAAAAGTGTGTCACTGCCAAAGAGTGTCAGCTGTTACATTTTGTTTTGTTTGTTTGTGCTTTTGTATGTATGGAAAATTATTTTCAGTATTTATGGAGCAGTCTGGAATGGGAATGGGAAGTACCGAATTTTCCAAACGATTCATTTCGATATTAAAAGAAAGGGTTTTCAACAACTACTAATTTCCATTCGGTGTCTTGAACATGGACTGTCTCTTTATGTGTGTGGCGTGTGGAGTCTGGTCTTTGCCTGTCCTGGTACCTCTGTATGTAACTGTGTTGAGTTGTCATGTGAAAGTTCAACAACATGAAGTGGATTCCAGCATTCTGATTGGTCGACTAATTATCGCAATGGCCAATCAGAATGGTGTTTGTCCGCTTCAAATACTTTTGGTCAATGTAATCTGTTGGAGAGATAAAATGCCTGAATTCCACAAGCTTCGGATTCAAACCCAAAGTTAACCTACTGTGCAAAGTAAATCATTGCATAATATTTAGTCGTGGAATATCGAGAAGCCGAGCTTGTGGATGAGATAAGTATTTTTGCACATGCATTTATTATCTTTTAGCAGTCTTCAGTTCTGCCTTTTTGCCTTTAGACAAAAACGCTTGTACATATCCAAAGTGCTTGTAATATGGACTCATGTTCCTTTATTGTGTTATTTTTTTATTTGACATGTTTTTGTAGTACTGCTTTTTCATAATTGAGTTGTCAATCAATAGATGTGGTATGGACAGTGGAAGTGTTACTTGTATTCTTTTTTTTTTATTTAATAAACACCTGATTTGTAAATTATTTTGTGTAGTTTGTAGATTTTTGGTAAAGCAAAAGTAAATATTATTTGTCAATTGCATTGCTCTGCCATAGATATGTTAATGATCAGTTTAACACAGAATTGTACATCTATACCTGTGAAAACATCCCATAATTAAGGCAAACACTAGGTAAATAAGGTAAAATGTTAAACTAATATATATTTCCATACTTCCCCAGTTGATTAAACACCATACATTAAAACAATTGTTTTGTATTACAAGTATTTTACACATTATTAAGGTATTTTATTTTCTAATTAAAAATGCATTAATTTGCATCTTTTTCTAGATACGGGATAAAACCAGGTCCAAAACTATTGTTTCACTTTGTTGACATACTAAAGATTTTTACAAAGGGGATTTTGGATATCTGGTTTTATCTCTCCATAAATCAGAAAAAAACATAAATTTTCACAATATTTTAGGAATAAAATGTTGTATAATATCATGTGAATGTTATATAAACAAACCCCTCAGTAAAAACCTTCAGAATATAGTTAGGAGTAAAACTGTAAAAATTGTTGTATGTAAGTTGTGCTGAAGTGGAGATACAAACTCATTTTGACAAAGCGATTTGTATTGTAATTGAAATCTACAGGCGCGAATAGGTGGTGTAAAAAAAAAAAAAAAGAAAATGGGTATTTTGGATGTTTTTTTTCCACTACTTTGACAGAAGACAAATTAATCACCATACACTAAAACAGTTGTTTTGTATTACAAGTATTTTACAAGTTATTAAAGCATTTTCTAATAAAAAATGCACTCATTTGCATACATTTCTAGATACTGGTTAAAACCAGGTTCAAATTCTTGTTTCATTTTGATGACATACTAAAGGTTCTTACAGAAGGGATTTTGGATATTTGTTTTTATCGCTCCATAAATCAGAAAAAAATACATTTTCATAATATTTTAGGAATAAAATGTTGTATAATATCATGTGAATGTTATATAAACAAACCCCTCAGTAAAAACCTTCAGAATATAGTTAGGAGTAAAACTGTAAAAATTGTTGTATGTAAGTTTGAAGTGGAGATACAAACCCATTTTGACAAAGCAATTTGTATTGTAATTGAAATCTACAGACGCAAATAGGTGAAGTGTAAAAAAAATAAATGTGTATTTTGGATGCACAGAATTGTACATCTATACCTGTGAAAACATCCCATAATTAAGGCAAACACTAGGTAAATAAGGTAAAATGTTAAACTAATATATATTTCCATACTTCCCCAGTTGATTAAACACCATACATTAAAACAATTGTTTTGTATTACAAGTATTTTACACATTATTAAGGTATTTTATTTTCTAATTAAAAATGCATTAATTTGCATCTTTTTCTAGATACGGGATAAAACCAGGTTCAAAACTATTGTTTCACTTTGTTGACATACTAAAGATTTTTACAAAGGGGATTTTGGATATCTGGTTTTATCTCTCCATAAATCAGAAAAAACATAAATTTTCACAATATTTTAGGAATAAAATGTTGTATAATATCATGTGAATGTTATATAAACAAACCCCTCAGTAAAAACCTTCAGAATATAGTTAGGAGTAAAACTGTAAAAATTGTTGTATGTAAGTTGTGCTGAAGTGGAGATACAAACTCATTTTGACAAAGCGATTTGTATTGTAATTGAAATCTACAGGCGCGAATAGGTGGTGTAAAAAAAAAAAAAAAAGTAAATGTGTATTTTGGATGTTATCTTTCCACTACTTTGACAGAAGACAAATTAATCACCATACACTAAAACAGTTGTTTTGTATTACAAGTATTTTACAAGTTATTAAAGCATTTTCTAATAAAAAATGCACTCATTTGCATACATTTCTAGATACTGGTTAAAACCAGGTTCAAATTCTTGTTTCATTTTGATGACATACTAAAGGTTCTTACAGAAGGGATTTTGGATATTTGTTTTTATCGCTCCATAAATCAGAAAAAAATACATTTTCATAATATTTTAGGAATAAAATGTTGTATAATATCATGTGAATGTTATATAAACAAACCCCTCAGTAAAAACCTTCAGAATATAGTTAGGAGTAAAACTGTAAAAATTGTTGTATGTAAGTTTGAAGTGGAGATACAAACCCATTTTGACAAAGCAATTTGTATTGTAATTGAAATCTACAGACGCAAATAGGTGAAGTGTAAAAAAAAATAAATGTGTATTTTGGATGTTTTCTTTCTACTAGTTTGATAGAAGACAAACTAATCACCATACACTAAAACAGTTGTTTTGTATTACAAGTATTTGACAAGTTAAGGCATTTTCTAATTAGAAAACGCACTCACTTGCATATATTTCAAGACAGGTTCAAAATTCTTGTTTCATTGTGTTGACATACTAAATGTTTTTACAGAAGGGATTTTGGATATCTGTTTTTATCTCTCCATAAATCAGAACAGTAACTTTTCACCACTTTAGGATTAAAATGTTATACAAAAGCATGTGAATGTTATATAAACAAACCCCTTGGTAAAAACCTTCAGAATATAGTTAGGAGTAAAACTGTAAAAAAATGTAGAATGCACGTTCTGCTGAAGTGGAGATACAACTCATTTTGATAAAGCAATACGTATTTTAATTGAAATCTACAGACGCAAATAGATAAAATGAAAATTTTAATGTGTATCTTGGAATTGTTTTCTTTCCTTATTTTCCACTAGTATGAAAGAAAACACGTTATGGAAGCGAAATAGCCTAAAAATGTAGCCCAAAGCATACTTCTCTGTATTAATCTGGGACCTGTATATGATCATTTTAGATATTTGTTAAAATACTATACTTTTTAACTGTGCATTTTGGAGGACAAAATAATACTAATACTAATATTGCTATTCAGAAACGCGGGCCCCTCGCATGCGCACGCACAGCTCATCCACGCCCGGTTGAGGGAGGGCTACAGAAGGGATTTTGGATATTTGTTTTTATCGCTCCATAAATCAGAAAAAAATACATTTTCATAATATTTTAGGAATAAAATGTTGTATAATATCATGTGAATGTTATATAAACAAACCCCTCAGTAAAAACCTTCAGAATATAGTTAGGAGTAAAACTGTAAAAATTGTTGTATGTAAGTTTGAAGTGGAGATACAAACTCATTTTGACAAAGCAATTTGTATTGTAATTGAAATACGCAGACGCAAATAGGTGAAGTGTAAAAAAAATAAATGTGTATTTTGGATGTTTTCTTTCTACTAGTTTGATAGAAGACAAACTAATCACCATACACTAAAACAGTTGTTTTGTATTACAAGTATTTGACAAGTTAAGGCATTTTCTAATTAGAAAACGCACTCACTTGCATATATTTCAAGACAGGTTCAAAATTCTTGTTTCATTGTGTTGACATACTAAATGTTTTTACAGAAGGGATTTTGGATATCTGTTTTTATCTCTCCATAAATCAGAACAGTAACTTTTCACCACTTTAGGATTAAAATGTTATACAAAAGCATGTGAATGTTATATAAACAAACCCCTCGGTAAAAACCTTCAGAATATAGTTAGGAGTAAAACTAAAAAAATTGTAGAATGCACGTTCTGCTGAAGTGGAGATACAACTCACTTTGATAAAGCAATACGTATTTTAATTGAAATCTACAGACGCAAATAGATAAAATGAAAATTTTAATGTGTATCTTGGAATTGTTTTCTTTCCTTATTTTCCACTAGTATGAAAGAAAACACGTTATGGAAGCGAAATAGCCTAAAAATGTAGCCCAAAGCATACTTCTCTGTATTAATCTGGGACCTGTATATGATCATTTTAGATATTTGTTAAAATACTATACTTTTTAACTGTGCATTTTGGAGGATGGTAAAAACCTTCAGAATATAGTTAGGAGTAAAACTGTAAAAAAATGTAGAATGCACGTTCTGCTGAAGTGGAGATACAACTCATTTTGATAAAGCAATACGTATTTTAATTGAAATCTACAGACGCAAATAGATAAAGTGTCATAAAATGAACATTTTAATGTGTATCTTGGAATTGTTTTCTTTCCTTTTTTTCCACTAGTATGAAAGAAAACACGTTATGGAAGCGAAATAGCCTAAAAATGTAGCCCAAAGCATACTTCTCTGTATTAATCTGGGACCTGTATATGATCATTTTAGATATTTGTTAAAATACTATACTTTTTAACTGTGCATTTTGGAGGACAAAATAATACTAATACTAATATTGCTATTCAGAAACGCGGGCCCCTCGCATGCGCACGCACAGCTCATCCACGCCCGGTTGAGGGAGGGCGGGTGTAGTGATGTCAGCGCGCAGGGCTTTGGATTCTGGGAGCACAAACACACATATCAGCCATTTTCAGTTTGCTGTGGTCATCCTCTCTCACTCCAGCACAAAGATCTGCCAACTGTCGAGCTGAAAGGGACGAGAAGGATGGACGAAGCGAAAGCGGGTCATCGCGCGCACGGGCGTTTGTTTTGCTGAGCGCGTCAAAGACAAAAGCGCAACGGACGGACGCGCATCCTTACGGCCGACCCGTCGCCGGGGATTCATCTGATATCGTTTTATTGGAGTGAGTCTGGGATTTCGGATGCGTCTGAATCCATAACATCACGTTGTTTTCACGCTCGAGTTGAACAACAGCCCGAAACGACCCCCCAAAAAAGCCGATTATTAAAGGTACCTTTCTTGAACGCAAGGCAAAAATGATCTGCGCTTTAGTGTTTGATATGCATCGATCATACAATAGGATGCTAAACTGCTGGCTGATTGAATGGGGAACGTTTAGCCTGATCTGCTGAAAACAAAACTCATATTTAGCGCAAAAGTATATGTTAGTGTTCATTCAAATAGTCATGGCATTATAATTTGTTTAGACAATGTCTGAAAGAGCAAACCAGATGATGTATGGCTGATTTATGATGATGCATTTGGTGATTTTTTTGTCTTCATCATCCAGCCAGTTGATGGTGCAATGAATATTTCTGGGGTTATGAATCAAATATGCATGATTCAGTCTCAAGTGTTATCATACGAGAATACAAAATGGTGTATGTGAGGCAGTTTGCATGAAAAAAATATAAGTGTTTGTTGATGTTTGGAGTTGGTTGCACAAGCTTTAGCAGTTTTGTTTGTTTCACACTGCCGTGTTTCAGAGCAGGGCCCGTTTTCGCTCAGATGCGGGGATGTTGTGATTGTCTGGAAGAGTTCATGTGGTGTGCTCCGGGTCATCTTGATGCAGGTTTCCAGGTTTCACCAGATTTGTCCAGGCAGCTGTCAGTCATGGTGGAATCTGGACTGATCGGGTGAAGGGTTGTGGTCTGAGCAGGTGTGTTTATAAGCTGAACATCTCTCCGCTGTTGCTGCATTGCAGTCGATAGGCGTGATGAATGATGGATGGCGCCTCTGCTGGACGCAGGTGGAAATGCAGGTGAAATCGGCCCAGATGATGGAGGTGGTGTCTGTCTGAAATGTCATATCATCATACTTCACCTCCTGTTACTGCTGTTTCTATAGTGGCTCATTATTAGCTGCATTAGTGACCCCTGATGTGCTCAGGTTCCTGTTGATTGGAGCTGAATCACACGGCTGGCAGGTCTGCTGTTGTGCATCACTTCAGATGTTATTGGGCAGCAGGACTCTGTCAGCACTTGTAGTCAGTGTTGCCAGATTGGCTGTTTTTGGGTGTGAGGTGCAGTAATGGATCATGATGGACTCCAGGGTATAATGAAGTCATTAAGACTAAAGTCACCAGTCATTTTGCACTATTTCAGTGTTATGTTAGTATCATTGAGACACTATTAAAATTTTTTTTCCAAAACACTTTGATTTATTTTTATTTCAGTTTGCTTTTTAATTTTAGTTCGTGTTTTAGTGTTGTTTTGTTGTTGATGTTCTTTTATTATTAGCTTTATTAATTTTTATTTGTCATTTTATTAGTTATTGTTTTAATGACTATAGTTTATATAATCTATCGTTTCAGTTTTTGTTATTTTTTTGTTTGTCATTTTTGCTGGTTGTTTTTTAAAATATTTAAAATATTTAATTTTACCATTTTTATATGTAATAATAATTTATATTTTGAAAACATCTGTATTGTTTTTATTAATTTTTTATTTCAAGTTCCTGGTTGTTATTTTTTTATTAGTTTTTTATGTCTGTATAATTTAAATACATTCAATTTAAACTAAATGAACATGAGAAATTTGTCTTTGTCAGTTAATGGAAATAAAATAAAATAATTTTTTTATATTTTATTCTGTTTTAAGTTTTTATTCTGTTTATTTTATGTCAAGTAACAAATGTTTTATGGTTTAAAAATTTTTTTTATATATTTTTTTGTCATTTTTATTAGTGTTTTTTACATATATTTGTAATTGGTCTATATAGTTTTATATTTTTTTATTTCAGTTCTTTTTAATACACCAAGTTAAACTAAATGAAAATGAGATGTTGCTTTGACGACTGTCTTGGCAGCTTTTATTGCATTTGATATCTTATTCTACACACTGTTTTAGTTTTAGTTAACTGGGGCCATGTAAGATGATGATTCAGCTGATTTTTTCATGTAAAAGCTGCAGGTGAGGTCAGATTTGTGACGCATCAGTTTGTAATCGTAACATTGGGTCCGTTCTCAGCGAGTCCGGCGGGTGATGTCCGCCATGGTGTACCCACGAGAAGAGACGCTGGAGCGGCTGACGCAGGACGAGATCGTGCTGAACACTAAAGCAGTGATGCAGGGTTTGGAGACGCTGCGAGGGGAACACGCTCAGCTCCTCAACTCCATCCTGGACTGCGCTCAGCCGGCCGTCGCGCAGGAGAAATCCAGCCTGCTCCGCAAGAGCCTGGAGGACATCGAGCTGGGACTGGGAGAGGCGCAGGTATCTGAATCTGTCTGTGACTCAGTTTGAACTCAGAATATCCAGAACTGGTTGTTTAGATTGCATTCATTTGACGAATGTTAATTATGCTAATATTGGGCTGTCAAAAAAAATTTGGAATTTCAAATATTCGTCGAATTTAAATTAAAAATCCACATTCGAATGCAAAAACGTTGCATTGGAATTTTAGGTGTGCATCCGGCAGCTTTATCAGCGGCGCACGAGATGCGATGAGGATGTAAGTGTCGTTGCATTATAATGTTTTTGTTAGGATATCCAGTTGAAGCCACTAGATGCGGCGCTGCTGCGGTGTTCATTAAAAATATTGCAGGAAAAGAGAACATCAATGCGGAGAAGATCTTGTTTATTTCAAATCTGAAACCAAGCCGTTCACACAGAATGCATATTTATCGCATTTTCGAGAGGGATATCTATCAGCGTTGCACTCGCATCTCGCACAAAAGAGCCGCATGTTTAGAAAACCATGTTAATGCAAAATTAATGCAAGTTCAACTTTTTAAAAACATGTCTCAAGACGTTATGCCGGTTTTCCCCATCCCGCGGCATCTCATGTTTTTAAATGAAGAAAATACTCTTTGTGATTGATTTTCGGTCATTTGTATTAAACTATGCATGCATACATGATGCTGTTTTGTTTCTAATTGTTTAAGCAACTTTAATTATTAACATTATTTTAAACATTATGCTCTTTTTTTTAAAGATAGTCATGTTATTTTATTATGCTTTGAAGAAAC